TTTTTTTTTCCATCTGTAAATGTCGTATATGGCAAATAAATATTGTATTGTATTAAGGAAAAGCTGCACAATGCCTCCGCTTCTTAACATCCCTTTTGAGTTTGTTGTGGTGGATACATTACATTTATTTTTAAGAATAATGGGGCTGCTATTCCATCAGGTGAGCCTACAAGCATCATATAGAAAAAAGCCATTTTCTCATCCAAACCCTTTTGAAATTTTTGAATAAGAAAACAGACACTTATTAATTTTGTGTTATTTACAGTCTGAATATAGGTTGTTGAGGTTGTTGTCTAAAATGATTACCTTGAAGTTCTGACAAAAGAATGGCAGAACTTGTTTGGCGATAGCGATGATGAAGAATTCGCTGGCGAGTAAGCAGGGACTGTGCTTGCTCCAAAAACGGCTCCCTTAGGAGCCACCGTGTTAACAAAAGGCTATGACCAACAACGAAATTTAATGTGTCTACTTATTCTCCCTATTTATTCCCTTCCCTGCCCTTTTCTCTCTCTACTCTTTAATTGTTCCCTATTGCTTTCATGCACACAAATTTCAGAAAGCACGTGGAGTTATCTTAGCTACCAGTGCTCCTCAAATTTGTAGTTTCCAAGATGGCGGTGTTTTCATCAAGCGATTCTTCGAAGCTCTTTGGTGTTCCTTTGGTCTACTAAATCTCCTTTCAAAAGGTTGTTTAAAGGCACGAAGACTTCATTTTTAAAGCGACTTACAAAATATGGTAAATTACTTCTCCAGTAAATCGAAGTGCTTGTATATGCTTCAATCATGAATTGTGGTGATATAAGTGCTACTAAACTTCACAGCACACGGTTACATTTTACTCTGTAGTTTTTTTTTTAATTCACTGTGTTTTCAATACATTCTCAGAAATAAGAGATCAACATCTGGGAACTTTGTATTGGTCTGAATTTTTCTTTAACTAGAAATGATGAAAAATTCGATTTTTGACCTTGAAAATGGGGGGTAGACTTGTACACGGATAAATACTGTATATGACTTATATTTATTGACAGCCAGAACTACTTTTATCGTATCTCACATCTTTGGGTGTTGAAGAAATCAAGTTATCCACAAGGAAGCACATCAGAAGGAATCTTCAGGCAGAATTCAGCAATGTACTTCTCTTTGAAAATTTGATAGATACATAACAACCCTTCTACTGGAAAAGCAGGACAATGCTGGCCAGTCTTCAAAGGGCGCAAATAAACACCAGGCTGCTATTGACATTCGTGAAGCTACTCAAAGAACAGAAAACAAGATGTCATGGCCTCCACGCCCTTCAGATCT